CGGAGAAAAGACAAACCAAAGGGAAATGGATTTAGCTCAATACAGGATTGGAGCAGTACCTCTAGACGCTTGCAGAAATCATGATCACAAAATAGACAAATATTGTTTTTTTCGCTGATTTTAACATTTTTCATGCATTATCATACATAAATCAGTGTGAAAAGATGAATTAGACCTATTAAAGTTCATTCCGTTGCGTAAAAAAGCAAGATTTTGGCATTTTACGATTCAAGCGCCTTGTCCGGTATATACCGGAATACGGTATTTAGTGTGGTGCTCCAATCCTTTATTTAGTCTCACTCAAGGGAAATAATTCTTATGTCGGTCAAAATGTATGACACAACATATAGGTTGCCACCGTGTAAACAAACTAATTTCTTGTAGTTCTGGGTCATGGCAGTTACTCAATGAGTATATTTATTATTTTACAAGTCTGTAACAGTTTTTGTTTTGTGTGAAAGGTAAATAAACTCTGATTTTGTATTTTGAAATGTCGACCTCATAATTTGTTACTTCCTACATCATGATCACTGATGATGATAGTGTCCTACTTCCAAAGTGTGTCTATAAGCTTATACACAATCAAACTAAAATAAATTCTGTATAAACCAAGTTAGGTAATAAATTGTTATCTGTTGGAGGAGGTACACCAAAACAGTAATTGTCAAAATTTATCTTTGTGATATATAAGAGTAGCCCGGGGTTCTATGATATCAAGGTACTTAACATTTATCGGAAAATATTTAAATATAAATATCATAAATGAATGAGATTTTTCTTCCATCTTATAAATGAACCTTTTCCAGAACTGTTTCTCAAAAAATTATTTCAAAAGAACCAATAAAAATGACAGTATTTAGAATATTTTGTGTAAATCAATCGACCAATCAAATAACCTGATTAAAATATCTACAGACCGGGTCGCGCATTATTAAAATCCATGAGTATGACTAGAATGGACTGGTATCAATATCATTAATTACGGAATAGATTTTTTTTTCACTTTCGTATAAATTCCTTCAAGATCTTAAATAAAAGTTGTCCTCTGTGATTACGTGTATTATTAGAATTTGTTCTCATGTCTATGTATATTACATACTGAGATATATTTAATAAAACTTGAAACTTGAATGCCTGCCATTTTGGGTCATTTCAGAGGAGGTTACTACGGTATCAAGGTAATCCCCAAAAAAAGCAAGTATGGAAGGATTGATGGGTCAAAACTTTCAGGTTAAGTTGTGAAAAACTTCCATCAGTTAACTTGCTATAAAATTAAAACTTTATGAACAGACTATATGTCAGTATATGTGTTTATAACATATTTTAATTGACTGTGTAAAAACCATTAAGGAAAATGGTAGTCAAATATGAAGATTTTATAAAATAGTTTTCTTGCCACAAATACATTCATTATTCACCAAATTAAATTTATTGGCAGATGAAAATGAATCTAGTGTGCAAGTTTTACAAATATTAGCATCATCGTGTGTTGCTTTTACTAGCAGTCACAGAAAATTTAAATACCTTGATATCATAGAACCCTTGATATCATAGGAACCGAGTATACCAGAATACCAGTAAGCAATAAAAAGCCGTCTGGTTAGCTCAATAGGTAGAGCTTTGGACTGTTAATCGGGTGTCTCAAGTTCAATTTCCGGACTGCGCTTGTGATTGATCATGAAATCCTTTCAATGGTCATTCGTACTGTACCTCTGCTCTGGCATGTACAGAAGTTCAAGTAATCAGTTCTTTGTGAAAGTGAAGGCCACTAGTACTGGGAAAACTTCTTGACAGCCTGCCCAGGAACGATTCTGTGGCTGAACTGTGCTCTGGTAAATTCAGTGTGGCTTAATGCCATGATCCGGGTGAAAACTACCACCATCACCAACAATATGTAATAAAGCTGTATGATACAATTAGAGACACTGTTCCCTCACAGTCATATTATAAATGGGCTAAGAGCGATTTCCCAGTTACTAGTAGAGTACAATGTATTAAGTGTTTTCAGGGCATATATTATGTGTTTTTAGTCTAAATATTATAAACTGGTCAAATTTACTTAATACTAATTGCTTCTTAAAAGTTAGGTTAATGTAAACTATATCAGAAATAACAACAACTATTTCAAATGTTTAATTTTGTTTTTAAAAGACTGCATAATTAATATAATTTCAGAATCAATGACCAGTTCCACCATTTTATGTAGGCGAAATTGAAGCATATCATATCAAATCATGGAGGCTGAAGGAAACCTTGATGAATGTAGTCCATTTCTATTTTCAACACCCAGTCCAGTTGATTCTGCATCAAGTCAAGAGCTATGCTACCTTAATGAAGGTTCTTTACAACAAGATGAAAATGGAGGTCGTTTACAAAGAAAGGGTTGTTTACCATCATCTCATGTTGATTTTCTTAATCTTGTCTTCCCACCAACACCTCAGCAATCTCCAACTAGCCTACCAACTGAAGATTGTGAAAGTAGGGAAAATACTGAAATGCTGAATGATAATCTTACCAAAGTTATTGTACAGGAACAAGAAGGCAGTGACTTACTGTTGATGGACATTTCTCAGCATCATGGACAAAACAAAGAGAAGGAATCTTCATTTGATGTTGAGATGGAAGATGTTACAGACACACCAAACGCAAGGCAAGAAATAGGAAAATCTTCAAGAAAGGAGAAAGAAAAGTCAGGGAAAGTAAAAACGTGCTTTGACATTCCACCATGTGTTATATGCACTGGAAAAGCTTCAGGGGCTCATTACGGTGCTATAACTTGTGAAGCTTGTAAAGGATTCTTTCGACGTTACTTACAGAAAAAAGGAGAATATAAGTGCTCAAGAGGAGGAAAGTGTGAAATTATAAATAGAAATCGGGGTAACTGTTCAGGGTGTCGTTTAGCAAAATGCTTGGCTTTGGGGATGTCAAAGGAAAAGTCTAAATTAGGGAGGTACACTCTAACTAAGAGAACTGAAGCAATAAAGAATATGAATATACTTGAAGGAAAGGTAGCAACAGATTCCTTAGAAGAGGGCAATGAAATTCCTGTGGTTGATGAAAAATGTGAAACTAGCAAGTATGATCCGGAGTCAGAAATGATAGGCAGGAAGATAAGCCAGAATGCAAAGGACTTAAATGTTTCTAATGGTTTCTCTGAACTCCTTATATCTGAGCTAGTGCAAGCTATGCACGAAATAAAACCATATGGGAAAGATATCAAAACAAAGGAGCAGATTTATGAAAGACATCTGTTTCATGCAGAAAGGTACAAACAAAAAATTGAACTGTTTGGTAGTATGAACACTGTCCCTAAAGAGGAGTTCAATAAATTGTACAAGGAGTTTGGCATTGATATTGATGGAAGAATGGCAGATATGAAAATATGCTGTAAAGATTTGGAGGGCATTGTTGAACGCTATTGTAACTTTGCAAAGCATATCCCAGGGTTTCATAATTTACCATACAAGGATCAGTCATCATTACTAAAGGTGGCCAGGGCAGATTTTTTCATTATTATAATGAACGAGAGCTATAGTAAAGAACATAAGATTTATCTAGGGCAGGATGGTATAGGCTTCCATATAGAGGAGATGGCAGATAAATTTCTGTCTCGGGAATTATTAGTTGATTTGTGTGATGTGTATACCAGGTGGCAAAAGTTACAGCTAAGTGAGGAAGAGAAGGCATTGATAGGTGCATTGACTCTAGTTTGTACTGACAGATGCGAACTTGAAAACCGCTATGCAGTTGAGAAAATACAATATGCTATTGCAGATCTTATTCAATCGGTACTGTATGCACAAAATAAATCAACATCTCAGCTAAGATTCACAAAAATCATTGACACATTAACCAGTATGAGAAACGTCTCGGAACTGTATCTAAAAGAGTACAATATTATGTGTAAAGACGATGTTATTGTTCAAGAATTGCCAATGTTGTCCGAGTTTTTTCTAGAAGAATATGACAATATTGAGAAAAGTGACAAACAATGAATGTTACAATCTTATATTGTTGCAAAGATCTTCATAATTGTACAAATTGTAGAACATTTTGTATATATATGTTTCAAACTATTTTTTTAAGGTACACATGCATTACCATCACTTAGTTGCTCAATATACTCTCTATGGTAACTAATACAATTGTTCCTAATAATTCAAGTGACATTATGCATATGCCTTTCTATATGTAAATGGTGATTGACCAGATTACAGTCAAAATAACTTTACATAATGTAAAGTTATTTCGACTGTTATCTTGTCACTCACAGTCATTTGTGCATAGATATTTTAAATTTAATATTTTAATTCAAATTTATTATCAATAACTCTTGTGACTCACTTAAATTCTATAAATTTCCTGCTGAGTGTTTCAGTGATGTTCAATTTATAAAAAGACCGAGGCAGTCTTATTTTTGGCTGTAAAGGTAAAGTTATTGAAATTGGCTTAGATTGTCATAACTGTGATATTTATTTACAGATTGGATTTTTATTTGGACAAAAGAACACATATAACAAAACAGACATGTTAAACTATTATGATATGAATTTGACCTTTAAATGACCTGTCAAGGTTGAATTATTATTGCTTCTATTGTTATAACCTTGGCTTATGTTACAATTTATCCTAAACGTTTTTAGTTATGACCATTGTAAAAGTATATCTTTTAAAGTATATACAAAATGAAATGTAGTTAATGTAGCTCAACTTGACAGCAAAAAAATGAGCATATAATATCACTTTAAATGTTTAATGAAATATTTGATTGTTCTTGTTATATACATGTATCATCTTATAATACATACAATACCATTATATGAATATCATACTTTGCTGTTCAAATATTTTTGTATACAAATACCCATGTGATAATATCCCTTTTTGTTGATATATTTCTATGCATTCTAAAAGTCTAAGGTTTTAGCTTAGTGACTCATCTTTTGTAATACATGCATTTATATTTCACCATTTCTGCTTTTTTATTGTATCTCTCTTATATGGTTCAGTTTGTTTCAAACTTAAAATTTTTAAGCTAAAAATAATGATCATGGCTTTAAAGCTGCACGCCTCCAGATGATCCAAAATATTTCAAGAAAATCAATATTGAGAATAGTATAAACTTTTAAGAAAGGTAAAAACATTCAAGATCAAAGATATATTTTACATGTTATATGCGGTTTAACACTGGTTTTGCAGTATTTTATCACCTATTTCTTCTGCATTACTAACGCAGTAAGGGCTGTTTTTGCATAATTATGTTGACCACATTTTGGTAGTTTTCATGGATTGTAAGTTCCGATTGCAATATGTTAATTTTCTTTATTTGTTCACCTCACATTATTTTACTTTTAAATTCATTTTCAAAAAAAGGAATGAAAATTAGCATGAATCTGGAGGCTTGCTGCTTTAAAACCAACATCATCAGCAGCATTACTTATAAAAGAAGTCACAGTAATTATGAAATTTATATTGATTTATATTGGTGGCCAGGTACTGTATTCATTGCTACCAGAGTGTAATTTTGTGTAATCTTTATTGTTTATGAGTCTATTATTGTTAAATACATGAAGACATTCTTTTATGTTTTATGTATTGTTATGATCTTTGTTGAAGTTTTTCATTATAAGCCACTCAATACATCTGACTAACAAAGCATAAAATTGTTGAAAGATACCAAAATGCTGCTTTTAGATGTATTATGTTCATATTTTGACATTTTTGTTCCGAAAACTGACATTCCCCATTTCCGCCACCATGCTTTATTGATGATTTTGTCAACAGTCTTGAATCAAGAGGTCAGTGGTAACAAATTTACACATAAAGTATAACTTAAGACCAGTATTAACTGAATTTTTTTCATTTTACCATCTGGGTGGAGTGGCTTTAATAGCAATAGTTAAATTGGATAATTATTAACACCATGCTAAGTAACTTATTATCACATGCTTGAAATGCTTTATATACTTTCTACAATAATATTTTAGACACTGTTTTCATATACATGTCCTAATATATATTGCAAGATGATGTTCAATGTTTCTGTATGCTATGTTTTTAAAGGAACCCCACTGAGGTTAAAAAGCCTAAAAATCATAAAAGTTTAAAACTCATACATAGATCAAGTATATAAAACACTTAAAATGATAAAATATGCAAAGGATGATAAAACAACAAACGCAGATTTCAATTAAATTAAGTAATTATTTCTTTTTATTTCATGCTTTCCAGTGTTTTATTGTAATATATCAGATGATTATATTCTGATAAACCACTAGTGAAATTTATAAAATATAATGTTCACTGTAGCCGGACTATATCTGAATGCGGATGAAAAGAAAATCATAACTAAATGAAATAACAAGCAAAAATAAATGCCGCCATATGTAAATTTTGCTTCTTTAGGATAAGAAAGTCGATTTCATCATACATCATGTAAAAATGTAACAAAATTAGAGAAAATTAACAGAACTATATTTCAAAATTGATGATGTGACGTCATGATATGATGACGTCACATAGGAGAATGCGTGACGTTACGCGGCAAAATCAGTAAAAATATACTTAAAATCCCTTAAAAAGCATGAAATAAAAAGAAAATTTATTTGTTTAACATATAAGATTGAAATATATTTCATTCGTGAACACCAGCTATTATATTTTCACTCGTGGCTACGCCACTCGTGAAAATATTGCATCTGGTGTTCACTCAGTGAAATTATATTTCAATCTTACATGCAAAACAAACAAATATCCTCTATTTAATCTTATCTGAGTGAAAAGTGCTGCAATGCTTTTCTTTTTTAGGCCACTGGATTTGCACACAAAAAAATAATTGGAGTGAGGGAAACCCAGAATTATCTGAAAATTTGCAGTTACCTTATTGGTCATGACCAGTACATTGAATGGTACACAAATCATGGAAAGATATTTTTATGCCACCGCAGCATCTGCGATGCGGTGGCATATAGCGATTCACCTGTGTGTGTGTGTGTTTGTTGTTTGTTTGTGTGTGTGTGTGTTATATAGATTATATAGTGAACTTAAAAAATCTTCTTGTGAAAAACCACTAGTCCAATTTCAACCAAACTTGGCAGGATTGATCCTTGGGTGAAGGGCTTCCAAAGTTGTTCAAAGAATTTAATTCCATGCAGAAATCTGGTTGCCATGGCAACCAAAAGGAATTATAAGAATAAATTTAAAAAATCTTCTTGTAAAGACCCAAAAGGCCTAGAGCTTAGATATTTTGCATAAGGCATTGTCTGGTAGACCTCTACCAAGATTGTTCAAATTATAGCCCTGGGGTCAAAATCGGCCCCGCCCCGGGGGTCATTGATTTTCACTATATGTACATATAGTAAAAACTTAAAATACCTTTTTGTAAAGACCCATAGGCCTAGAGCTTAGATATTTTGCATAAGGCATTGTCTGGTAGACCTCTACCAATATTGTTCAAATTATAGCCCTGGGGTCAAAATCAGCCCCGCCCCGGGGGTCATGGATTTTCACTATATGTACATATAGTAAAAATTTAAAATACCTTCTTGTAAAGACCCAAAAGGCCTAGAGCTTAGATATTTTGCATAAGGCATTGTCTGATAGACCTCTACCCAGATTGTTCAAATTATAGCCCTGGGGTCAAAATCGGCCCGGCCCCAGGGGTCATTGATTTTCCTCATATTTACATAGTAAAAACTTATAGTAAAAACTTTAAAAAAATTTCTTCTAGCAATTGACAAATGCTAGAGGTTAGATACTTTGCATGAAACATTGTGAAATGAACCTCTAGCAAGAATGTTCAAATAATAGCCCTGGGGTCAAAATTGCCCCCGCCCCGGGGTCATTGATTTTCAATATATACATATAGTAAAAAATAAAAAAATCTTATTGTCTGAAGGTACAAGGCTTAGAGCTTTAATATTTGTTAAATGATATCATCTATAGGTACTCTACCAAAGTTGTTAAAATTTTGCCTCTAGTGTCAAAATTAAAAGTGAACTTTGATATCAGCTGACCTAGATTTTGACAAAGTGTATTACATGTTGTCCTTTGATGCAGTCATGAAATTTTAGGCTAGAAATATGACCTTCACCACCAAATTCACTAGACTCAAGTGCATTGATATATTCCTACTCTGATCTTTTATTGAGTTAACAATAGATTTAACCACTAATCTGATAATAAGAATTAGATATGCATTATGACAATCTTCAATTGTACAGAAACAAAAAAATCTGTTCCTACACTACTATTTAGTGTTGTATTATTGCGGTGGCATAGCAGTTTTCTCAAATGCAATCTTGTTCAGTCCTGACTCTCAAAAAACCTCAATGGAGTCCCTTAAATATAAAATATATGCACAAAAGTATAGCCTTTACTGTATAATACTTCTAATGTCATACCAAATATTGTTTTCAAGTTTCAGGTATATCTTTTTTGTTAATTGATTAAATATACAGTATATGAATAATTTATTCTTTTACTAAGGGCAAAGGCTGTTGTTATTTTTTAGCAGAATGAGGAAAAATCTTCTTGCTAAATATTGTCACAATTTTAGCTTCAATGAAAGTCACTTTTGAGATAATTATTATACTGTTCTTAAATTTTATATGCCAGAAAGAATATTGATCATTGTTATGCCCATGTGTGTCAATCAGTCTGTCTGAGTGTCTGTTAGCGATTTCCTGTCTTTTGGGCTGATGGAAGAAAATTTAAACTACTGGGCAGAAATGTTGACACTTATAAGAACATGTGCAGGGTGCAGTTTTGGGCTTTCTCACATCAAGGTCAAGGTCACTGTTTGTTTGTAGCCCATCTGAGTACTAAGTGCTCGAGATGAGCTTTTGTGATCACAGTTTGTCTAGTGACCATCATCGGTCAGTGTCTCTGGCATCAACCTTTTTTAGCTCACATGTCACAAAGTGACATGGTGAGCTTTTGTGATAACTTTTGTCCGCCATCCGTCCGCCGTCCGTAAACTTTTACTTTAAACCGA